CGGATCTCTTGCCCAGGCCAGGTTTTCGTTGCGAAGGAATGGGCGTCCCGAAAAGGCGGCGATCGTTTACAGGTACGGCTGCACGCCAACCAGCGCGCTATGGGCGTTGCCGACGCGGGCCAGCAGCGCGATCGCGACTTGCACAATTGTTCAATGTTCCCAAGTTTCCCGCAAGAGCGACGAATCTGCTTACCAGGGCGTGATTCGATCGTAATAGGAACAGCCAAGCCTGCCGTTTTCTGCTCGCCGTAAAAGCTGAGCATCGAAGGGCAGCGGAAACCGCCAAGACCGGCTGGGAAGCAGGTGCGCAGATGCAATCGACCGCTGCTGGCCGCCCCCTTCTCCCCCCTTGCGGGCCGATCCACAACAAATATGCCGATGTTCTGACCCAGGTCCACACCGGCCACGCCCAGCCTGTGGCGGCAGATATCATCGACGGCGGCTCGCTTTCGACAGAGCGCACGGCGTGCAAGCGCCGTCCTGTCCACGTACTTGCATCGAATATGCACACTCGGCTCCAGGGCTCGATCCTAAACCCTCATCGACGTCGCCCGCCGCACTTCGGATGGCGTCGCGGCCACAAGTGGCAGTCTCACCTGAGCTCGCAGATGGTTTGGCCCTCTTGCGCCCATCCTTGTCCGCCGGTCGATTGGGACGCGCCCAATCGGGCCGCCCGAGAGTGGCCAACAGCCCGCCGCCCGGCATCAATGTAACGGACCCAACGCCACGAGAACAATCGACTGCCAAAGGCAGCAGGTCACTCGCGAGCCGCAGCCGTTTATCCGAGAAGGCAGAAAAGTGGGGTCGGTGCTCCTGAAGCGCCGAGCACGGTGGGAGACTGGAACCCGAGGGCGTTGTCCTGCGGTGGCCTGTGGGCTCATTTGAAGGGCGCAGGCCCACACCTGTAATGGCACGTGACGGAATTGAGGGTCCCGGGGCTCTGCAGGCTGAAGCCTCCAACGGGCCATCATCGCTCCCATGTACACCAGCAGCACACCAGCTTCCTCCGCGAAGGAAAGAGAAGGGAAACAGGTTTCAGGGCGCCCAACGGCGACTGTCAGCAATCGTTCTCGGGGATGTAGTGTTTGGGCACAGGCGACACAGGTGCCATTCCCACGTGAGGACGCGCTGAGCCCCTTTGCGAATATAGCCAAGTGTAGCTACCTTGGGCTACAGCTGGGAAGTCCCCTTCGCTCCAGAGGGGACTTCCCAGCTGTAGCCCAAGGTAGCTACACTTGGCTATATTCGCAAACCCGTTTTGCTTCTTTCCGCCAATGGGCTTTCTTGGGAAGCGAATGCCATTGCCACAGGGCAAGATCTTGAAGTACGGCAAGGATCGCGCGCCCGCTATCTTTGCCAAGGGTGCGTCTGCAAAGGCGTGTGCAGGCAGCCCCGCAAGTTCCCCAGCGCCTTAGTCTTAGTCGCAATTTTCGTGGGCGTGTCCATCCACCTCGAGCCATGGCCACGTCGGTGGCCACGGCGCCAGGTTCGTGGCTGCAATACGAGGTGCCCAGCCGTATCCAGCAAGCATTCTGGATGGAATCCACCCACAAGTATGTCTCTAGAACCGCATCCCGCCACCCCGATACTGCCACAGCACACCGAGCACCCCTTGGCGCCATGGTCTCGTCACACGTTCACGGTTGCTTTCGCAGTCGACCAGGCAATGGGCGCGCCACCGCCCGTCATAGGTCTGCGACAATTGGTGCGCGCCGCACTTTTCCTCCCTCCGATGCCCCTACGATCTGGTTGCCAAAACGTCAGTTGCCAAATTGTCACCTTACCATTTCTGCCTGCTGGTAATCTCCAGGTGCCTGTGCGCATTAATTTCGTTCCGTGAATGGAACCGAGGTGAGCAATCGAGAACAATGGAGTGTGATTGAGACCACAAATACGCCGAGCACGAAAAACGACAAATGTTGGTTGATCACACATGGGCTGTTATTCAGGCTGACGTAACTGGGCATAACTGTGCTTCTTTAGCAGACCCCTATGGAAGTGTCCATCACAGCAAAAAAACAAGTTGAGTCGGGATGCCCATGTTTAACATGAAGTCGCAGACAATGCTCAGTACGCCGGCCCCACGGGCGCCCTCAACACGGCATCCACCTCTATGTCGCAAAGGCCAACGACATCACCGAAGAATTGTCATCCTCAAAGCACCTCTAGCGCGTCGCTCCTCGCCGCCGCTCACGGCGAAGCCGCAGTGCTAGCACGTGTCCGTATTGCTTCACGTCCGACAGTGCTTGGTGGCTGGCCCGAACTGTCCCTTGGGCGGCATGGTCAGCGAACGTGACAGTCCATCAGCAAAGGAAATGCCGGCCAAGACTGTCCGCAAGGCGCATGATCACGTGGAACTAGTGCAATTGTAAGAAAATACACATTGTTCGCCGCAACCATGCTCGCTAGTTGTGGCTTTGGGGTTGTCAAATTCCATGGGCGAGCTGCCACCGAGGAGCTGCGATGAGCCTAAGGAACGCTCGAATCCGCGACGAGCTGGATTGCTAGGCGTCGCCCGCATCTGAAGGCCTTCCCATCTAGGTGCGGGGGGGCGATCGAGGAGCTGGTGCGCCCGTGGCGGAGGCATGGAGGAGCAGGCGAGGGCACATCCTGGCGATCGTGATGAAATCGATGCTGAACGATAGTGATTGTCTGATGAGACAGCAGCCTGTGAATCCATTGATCTGGCTATGATCCAATGTTTGCAAAAGAATTGATGGCGGAACCGTGGGGGCAGGCTTGATAGTGACTTGTAAGCGAATAGCACTGATCCTAGGATCACTGGGAATCATTGGACGTGGGGATGGTGTCACGTAGCTGAACACAACAGTGATCAGGGAAGTCGACGGGAAAGGCAGGGGATGATCTAGGAAGCTTATATCAATAGTGACCCGAGTCCTTCGAGAATATTCCAAGGATCCTCGGACAATGGGGACAGCCAGCCAGGACTGTAAATAGGGGACATGCAGGGGGCTTGGAGCAGGCACCCACCGTGGGAGCTGACAGCCGGGTTGCTGTTTGAACAAAACTATGACATATACCCGTTTGACTGCGGAAATATTGGAGCGCCTCCCTGTGTGTGAGCTCCTAAGTGCAGTCCAAGTCCAATCGCTTCAAGCGATGGAAATTGGAAACGTGGCAGGGACCGAGTCCGAGAGTTTGGGCACTGCCCCATTGTCGTACAGCACCTGGTGCGTCGTTTTACGACTTGCACAGTGATGATGACGTTGCATTGCGTTCGCACGGTGATTCGGTGAGCTGCATGGTTGGTCAACAGCGATCGTGAGAAAACGAATGCCGGGCGCCCTCGAATCATTCAGTTGTGTGTTGCAGCTGCAAAGGAACGCTGGTTTGTGACATGCTGTGCCGACCATGCACGCTTTGAGCCATCGCCTTCATAGGCACGACGTAGAAGACATGCAGGTGCAAGAAATCGTTGCAAGGCCTTGCAAGCCCTTCAGGATAGCTCTGCTGAAAGTCTCGAAAGTGATACCTAAATACAGATTTGTATCGCTGGTGGTGGCACGAGCCAGGCTGAAATGGAGTGCTGCCCTTCACATAGCTACTTGAGAAAATATGTATCGGCCGCTAAAGGGCGTTGTCATCCCTCAATCGAGGTGCTGCACGATGACCGGCGTCAGTATACGACCTGTGCTGTTGGCGAAATGATTCGTTGTCTGATTGCATATCAGTTGGCTGTGATGAATAATGATCGACGTGAAATGTAGGCTGGCAAAGGCTGAGCTGGTCGGCGGAGATATTTTAGCTTCAGTGCTTGGCATTGCCTGATCGCAAACAATGAATTGAGGTGCCACGCTACGGCAGCACTTGTGGGAAGAAGTGGAAGGCTTGGATCCTCGCATTAGTGAGGCAACAGAAGCAGCTTACCAGCCCCAATGGGCAGCTGCACACTGAGGCTGCTTTAACACCGGCTTGAAATATGGTTGCAATCAGGCTTGGTTTTTACGTTTACGTTTACGTTTTTACTTTTACGTTTTTACGCGTAAAAACGTAAATTTGCAAAAGGGCCTATTTTTACGGCTGTTTTTACGTTTTTACGGCTCCCTGGCACACGCAGCTTATACGACAAAAGTTGCCTATAATGATCAGTCCTCCGCCATCTGCAACACCCTCAACACAACGTCCACCTCGCCCTTGGCAAGGGCGATAATGACGTTCAACAAAAACTCGTCTTCTGCCTCTTCCAAAGCGTCTGGCTGCCACTCTCCGGACTCTGCAAATCTGCATGTACTGTCCTTATGTACACCAAGCAGTTTTTACGTTGTATTTACGTATTTTTACGCATTTTTACGCGTAAAAACGTAAAAACTATTTTTACGCGTAAAAACGTAAATACGATCAGTTTTTACGGCGTAAAAACCAAGCCTGGTTGCAATTACAATTTGCAGTTAAATATCATAGTTTAAAACTTTGTGTAGTCAGTTGCGGCGAAGTAGTGCATGGGAGATGGAAATGATCATAATCCATCATCTGGAGGCCATGAGAACTCCGAGGAGTACTGTGCGTGGTGCTGTGTCTGCCGAACGCTCTTCTGAGGCTTATGGAAATGTCTTCTCCCGCGCTTAGAAGGCCACGCCATGGCCAACAGCAGTGAACCGGTGGCTTGATGCATGGCATCATAACGCACCACTCATTAGAAAGCGCCAGTCCATTCTGAATCAGAAAGTAAGGTTCTTCTCTCCCCTCATAGCATTGCCGCCTTCATTTGCCATTGAACCACTCCTTGCTCTCTTGAAGCTGAGCAATCTTTACATGATGGTTTTCGCGACGCACGATCCGATCAGCTCATTTGTGAACAGCACAGTGCATCGGTTGCTGCACTATATGCAAGGTCTTGCTGACGTACGCTCCCAGCTTGGGAGATGCTCCCGCTTCAGCTCTGATCTTGTGTTTCTTCAATAAGGTCGTGCGCCAGCCAGAAATCACTTCAGCAACGCCGCCACCTGCAGGTGGGTAGCTGAGGTCTTTGGCGCTGGGCGTTATTGACGTCTTGGCTGCCACACCAACATCATCAATTTGTTAGACGAATATATCAGTTAAGAATATGAATCGCCAATTTCACGCGTACGTGGATCCCACTGCCGCCAAAGTCACCCCACCGCCTGGGGGCGTTGGACAAGGAAAAAGAAACGCCGACGCGTGAGGATATGCAGGTGAAGGACGGGCGTCCACAGCTCGACAAGGACAGGTGGGGTGGGAACTTCGCTCCGCCGAAGTGTACCGGCGGTGAGCACGTGTGCCCATCGTAATGGGCAAGAGACGAGATTTGCAGGCGCGCTGTGCAGGGGCGGCGTCTGGACGAGGTGTCGAAGACGGCACTGACGGAGGTGGGTCGTGGGGAGCGGGTTGGCAACGGCGGATCGCGGCGGCGCGTCTGCAACAACAGACGACCTTGGGGGCTAGGGCTTGGGCGATGGCGGATTGTTTTGCGTTGAGGGTGGGCAGCTTAGGCGCGGTGTATTGAGTGTGTGTGGGTGTGCTGTCGTTCCCGCAGGGCCAGAAACCGCAGAAAGGTTATCCACAGGCAACGCGGAGAAAGGGAACAAAGGCATCGACGTGCTCCTTTGGCGATGCAAATGCTGGCGCGGGGTGTGGTGGTGCCATAGTGCTGGCGTGCTGGAATGCTCGTGCGGGGTGGACGACAGGTGTGAACAAAAGTTGTAAGCCAAAGTTGTAGCTGAAGGTTGTAAGCAGAAATTGTGAACGATTGCGATCACCACAAGTCCGGCAGCAGAAGGCCGCTGAACGCTGCCCCAAGGGCATTCGCCACGACGCCAGCATAACAGCCACTGCGCTATCGGCGTCACTGTCCGCGACACCAAGGGCAGTGTCCGCAACACTATCCGCGACAAAAAAGCGATGTCAGCCACACTGACCGCCAGGGCAGGGGCAAATGTCCGCAACAATATCCGCGACAAAAAAAAACATTCTCCAAGAAATTGTCCGCGACGCTGACCGCGACGGCAGGCACAATGTCCCCGTCACTGTCGGCGACGCTCCCACGAAGAAGCGTCCACGGCACTATCGCGGATGACATAGAAACTGTCGCCGTCAGTCTCAGCTTGGGTCACTCATTTTGAGTGTCCGCGGCACTCATTGGAACGACCGCGGCGGGTATGAAAATACCCCTAGACACTGGTTAAACAATTAAGTGCCCTAGATCTAGGGCAAACATTTATTTAGCCAATGCGAACAATGTCTAAGACAGTCAATTGATAAAAAAAATCGAACAACGAACTAAACATGACCTCGACTTAATGTGCCGCTGCGTTGAGTAAGATGTTCCATATGATGCCGATCTGACTTTAGCTGTACCTGCCAGGCATGAGTCATGATGGAGTGCCGCTGCCTATCCATCACTCAAAAGAGAACAGCGAATTAGAAATTCGAGACCATCCTTTCACCTCTATAACTTCGTCTATCCAGTTCCTCATCGCACTCAGCCTTGTATAATATCCAATTTTCTCAGGGCGGCTGCATTTTGGGCCGTACGATGTCACCGCCACAATGAGATCTTTCTTTGGACTCCCACTCTGGAAATCGCCTCCCGGCATGTCTGGAATCAAAGCTGGCCCACCGCTGTCACCTGGAACATATAATGAATAATCGGCAGAGTTCATCAGCCACAGGTAAGCATCTAAGCAATAGCATTGCGGAGGCCAAATCTTTGACATATCAGTGGTGCTCGTGGTCGCGAAAACACTTCACGTTGATTAAATGTGGATAGATGTCAACAATCTCAAGTCAAACTTGGTGCAAATGCGGTTGTCTCACGGACTAGGGCCTCAATATGGAGTTTCTTCTGTGTAAACCCCTATTACATCGCAGCTGCCAACAGGCAACGTCTTGCTCAATCATACCCATGCCTCATTCAGCTCAGCCGGAAGTTTTGTGTCTCGTCACTGTTTGTAAATGACAGCATTCTCGGCAAGTCAAACATATATTAAATGCAAGGGAGTACTGAGCTTGGAATGCCAAAATGACAGCGGAATGATGGCCCCCAAAGAAGTCAATAAAATGTCTCTCTGCAGAAGCAGTTCAGGAATTACCTTACCTTGGCATGTGTTATCAAGGTAAGATTCTGGGGCCTTCAAGCAAAGCAGAAGGTGGCCATCAACGGCGCAAGGTGGTCGGCCCCAAATGATCTGCCCACGAGTGCTCATCTGCAGCTTGTCAGGTAAAGATGAGTGCCATGAATCAAGGTAACCCCATCCCAGGGTATATAATGTCATCTGGCAGTGCAGGATGAGGTGAGGGTCCGCCAGACCAGGTATCGCAATTCCATGTGCCGGGTGTTTCAAATGCAGGAGAGCGACGTCGTAGCCACCTTTCAGGTGCCCTGCAGTGTAGTTTGGGTGAATTGTGGTCTTGTCGATCCTCACTGTCTGCAGGACCGGCCGCAAGCATAACAGCAACAATGATCAAGAGGACATTCGATTTACATACAGCATACATGCAACAAATTTAACAATTCCCAGCTGCTACGCTCATGCGACCTGTATCCAGATCTTTCTCGTTGCAACATTCATGCTTATGGGAAGGCCTACTGGGCAATTTGTCCAGAATAGGCACCTTTACGATACGAAATGTACGCATCTTAATCGATGCTAAGAACACGGATGAGAAAACGCGCAACGCATGTTTTCATTAAATGCTTTTGACATGAAATTCGATAATCTGGAAGCAATATTTAGATAGCAAGGAAGCCCGGGGACGGGTGGAGGGAGTCCGCACCCATGCCGCCCGCCGCCTGCGCGCCGCGCGAGGAGCAAGGGAGTCTGGGGATGGGCGGCGTGTGCGCGGCCGGCGGTCGGTCAAAATCCCATTTTTGCCCTACAAAGCTCCGCTCGCTTTGCTTGCTCGCAAAGGTAAGGCGCCACCACAGATAACATACAGAGTGTTGAAATTCCAGAGCATACACAATTTTGGATAAAGGCCATTTCAAGTCGCAAATTTCAATGAGATGCGCACTTGGACGCCTTGATCTTCATTGTCATCGATTCCGTATGCTCCAATGTGGGCTAAGCGGTTCCTTCCAGCAACTCCCGAGTTCTCGTCTACGCAATGTGCTGCTGTCAAGACAAATCTCTCGTGTATAAGGATCCCGCCGCAAGTGTGCTCATCCTCATGAGTCCTCAGGCTCACCATGTACGGAAATCTTCCTTCAGGGGCGTCATGTCCACCCTAAGCGGTGGGAAAAACAGTCGGGACAGCTTGGGTCATGTTTTTTTACTGTGTGTTTATTTCATTGTATGATTGCCGGACCAGACCGGTATAATATCCAGGAAGAATACTCACTGCATGAAGAGTCACCCCCAGGCCGCTTTCACCAGTCCGAGATCCAACTGCCACTTACGAGTTTCATTCCGTTGCCTTCTCAGTTCTTGTGTTCGTGATAAGCACTCGGTGTAACAGCAAAATACTGAACAATCATGATCCTTTGCTCGCCCAAAAGTCCTGTGATTCGTATTTTCGGAAGCATATTCAGCAATATCGATGTTTCTGTAGCACAGTGCGCACAAGCAAATCTGCACCACAGAGGGCACTGTCGGTGTCCTTCTTCAGATGCCGTACAATGCAGGCCAGAAATGGGATATCAATGAAACATCTCTACAATCAAAAATGTTGGTAATTGCGTGTATCTAGGAAGATGGGTGAAATTGCGAACAAGTGTAGTGTCGAATCCCACTTAACGCTCATTTCCACTTCCAATCACAAGTATTTTGCGCGTAAACAGCCAGCAAGACATAGTCCCAGTCAAACTCACCGCAATTTTAGGTGAGCCAACTGGGGATTCGCTGTCGTCGGGAGGGAAGCAATCTGAAACATTGAATTTTAAAAATCAATCAGTCAGAACACACCTTTTCAATTGAGGCTGAATTAAAAGCATAGGCGGTAGGAACATAACAATGATTCTGCTAATTGAAAGAGAAAGAAGGATGCATAAGGCAATGCAATGACATAAGCTGCTTTTACATGGGTATTGTAAATGCAAAACTGCAATTACGAGGATTTTTGGCTGTGCAGTCGCAGTATACGTAGGCTTAGTCTTCGTCCATCCCACTGCAGCTGTCTCCTATCACTTCGCATCAATGATGCCGTAGTAATTCTTGATTAGTTATTCATGCAAATGTGCGAAAAACTCCACTTGTAAGCTTGAAACATATTCTCCGAAACCGACCCAAATTCCAAGTCTTTACCTTTGGGCAACACACTGAATGCACATGAGTCCCGCTAATGTGGTACCCAAACTTCGCAAATTCCCCCAAATTACCAAAAACCGCAACTCTGAGGACGGGCTCCTCAAGTCGGCGCATCTTCTATGTACTTTCAGGATTCGCCACGCCACCCTGCCTGAAGCTCAGCACACTGAATCCGAAGATGCGAAACAAAATCTGAAGGACCTAATCTGCGGTGGTGGTCGCGAGTGCAGGATTGGCGACAAAGCATTCAACTGAAGAGTCTCTAGCAGAGACCATTGGATAGAGCCATAAGGACACGGCTTCGAATTTTAGCGTCCGCCGGCACCATACAAGCAGGAGCGAGGGACAATCAGAAATCCTGAACAAGTCGAAGTCAAATGGGCCACGCTATGTTGTTCCCCTGCAGATGCGGAACTCCAGTCTGTGGGGCTCAGTCAAATCGCAGAATTGCATGGCAATTGGAACAATTGAACTGCACATTGGAATACATGCGCGCTCCCCCAGTTCAATGGATTCTTTTGGGAAGAAATCGACACATAGCAGCGCGTGCAAGTCAGCACAGAGGGCGTGAAGGCGCGGCAACAGCAAGGAGGTGCGGTGCGGCGTGCATGAACATCCTTACAAGCAACGTGGAAATTCGACACATTAGTCATGTCGTGTGTATCTGCTGAACTCAGGTAGCCAGGCAGCATGCCCTTGCTGGCTGTCTGCACTGACCTCGCAATGATCGGCAACGAGCCCCTACCCTGATGGGCGGGGTGTGGAAGACAGTCAATGGCGGTTGCTCAGCGGTCCGGCCAAACTGCCCCCTGGGAACGCGGTGGGCGAGGGCGACAGCCAAGCCACAGTCATAAGCTGGCCCTGTCTGTTGGGTTTAAGTTCACGCTTGCACTCACTTTTTTATGCGGGTAAACGTAAATTTCAAAAGTGGTTGTTTTTGCTGCTGTATTTGTGTTTTGGCGGCTCGCTGTGACACCCAGGCTACGCGGGGAATGTCACATACATTGTTCGCCCCTCCGCTCCCTTGAGCACCCGCCACACAGCGTCCACCTCGCCCTCACCAAGGGCAACGACGGCGTGGAACAAAGTTTTGTTTCCTACCCATTCCAGCTCTTCTAGCTGCCACTCCCCGTACTCCCTAAGCCTGCGTGTACTGACTTTGCACATACGTGGCTGCATTTATGTTGTAGTTACGCAGTCTCACGCCTGTGTATGCGAAGAAATGTAAAAACTATTTTTACTCGTGAAAACGTAAATACGATCAATTTTCACGGCGTAAATAAGAAGCCGAGCACTATGCACAAATATGTGTAAATGTGCAAATGCCATAAACAAAAGCACATTTGCGAAACTGGCATTAGCACTCGACAATTCTGAAACCAAAAGGCGTTATATATGTTTTCAAATCAGCTGGGACACACACAGAATGATCCGTTTCACCAGAAACGATGGCATTTATCACAATGCTGTAAAGCATATAAATTTTCGATAAAACCGTGCCAGCGCCTAGTTTACAGGCTTTGCATACACAGCGTGTTCAACATTGATATCAGTGGTGTCAGTTTTGTGCATGTCAGTACATTTGCAGGCTGGGCCACACAAAGCATGCGAGCAAGAGATCTGAGAGACGAGGCAAGCGCTCAAAACCGATTGATTCATTGCCTGATCCAGCGCAGATGTGCCAGATTACCGCAGTGTCATGGACGGGCACAAAAAGCAGACATTAGTTGGGTGTCAAAACACCGTCAATACTTGGATCCAAAGAGCTGCGCGCCTTGCAAACTGTCCAAGAAAAACACATGGCTGCTCCCCAATCCATGCGCGTCTGTAGTTTGACAAAACTCCTAACTCGCAGTACTGGCGCCGGTCATGCACGACGTTGATGAGGGAAGCTAGGTCTTCACCACCTCAACATTTGTACGGATTCGCCACCTGAATTTTGATATTGTGAGTCTCTTGGTTCGATATTGGCCCATTCCAGGCATTAAAACTAATCTACTGGCAACACTTCATTAGGCAATTTACTATCTCTTGATTCAGTTACCGTGCCAGCATTCTCAGTGTCCCTAAGCAATATTTTTGTGGAACGATCTACTCTGCGGCTATGATGGAATCACAAAGTCGAATTCTTACCAGAAAGCGGACTGCGGTTATCGATGCCAAACAGCGTGCGAATGTCCATGGAAAGAGAGTCGGACGCCCAATTCTCTGGAATGCAAAATTCGATGAATCCACATGCGGAAAAGAAAGCCAGCACCACGCTGAACAATAGCAGCAGTGCACCGCTGCCACCGTTCTTCGATGCTGCACCTGCAGGCCGAGCATCGGCATCAATGTCAGATATCGTGATGCTGCGGCGTCAACTCAACCTCTGAGCTTGCGATGCAATCAATGCAAGTCACAATGTAGAAAGGCAGTCGAAATAAACAAACTACGATTTGCGCGCAAAAATTCCATAAATTTTGTTACCATCTGTGGCGAAGGACAGTAACGCGCAACCGCCATCTAGTACAAGAGTTCACATACAGAGTAAATAAGGGCACAGGAGCCTAACCTGAGAAATACACGAGACAAACTAGGGAAATCATTACCTTCCGGCTGAGAACGCAGGGACATTGCCAATCCAATACATCTTTTTACCTACATAATATTGTCCGAGATATAAAAAGAACTCATCTTACCAATGGTGTCGCCACATCTCCATTACCAATAAGCGAGGCGTCTTCACAATAACAGGCTTGAGCGAATGGACTAACAATA